TTCCAAAATTTAATGTTATGACCAAAAAGGCCTCTTTATAAGGAGTTGAGGGACCAAATTAGTCCCTCAAAAGAGTTGGGAACCATTTTGATCATTTTCACTTTTCTAAAATAAATGAACCAACAGATGTCAGGATAGGATTCAAAATACGACCAATAGAACCATCAGAAATGCAACCATGCAAGAACCGAATAAAGGATATAACAATAAATTTACTTGTACTGGAGCTCCAAACAATTTAAGTTAAGACATAGCATTAGCAAGTAGAATAATCAATTCCTCCAAATCTCTTCTAAGTGATGGAGGAATACTCCTTTTCTAACAAATGCACCAGTTCGTAGTGTTAGAATATTGGGATCTAATGTTGTACTTCATAGATCAAATAAATCAACAAATGGGAACGTTAGCCACCTAATTTTCCATCCATATCTAACCAAGTGCCATTTCAACTTTCTAGGCAACATTAATTAAGAAAGGTTCAAAAGTTCTAAAGACAACCAAGATTAAAATTAGAGCTACTGTCATGCTCCTTCGACCAAAACTTTATCATATTATTACTTTTTAAATATTTGGCTTGAATGATTTCACAACCAATATACGATTCCACCCACTTAGCAAGCAAAGTAATGCGAAATTTCCTCAAATTAAAAATAAATACACATAAAACATCTTTAGATATGCACAAAGGTTTCCATTTACCTAAATTCAACCGATTCTCCTCCCCACTACCATTCAAAAAAAAGTTTCCTCCAATTGCTTCTATTCTCTTAATCAACCAATTAGGAACCTAAAAAGAGAAAAAGTCAAGAGACATTACAGTAAACACTACGTTAATAAGGATAACTCTACCAAAACACTATGTTAATAAGGATAACTCCACCACCTGATAAATATTTGTCGTTCCAACTAGTCAACTTCTATCTGACTTTATCAATAATAATAAATAATCAAAGAATCTTATCAATCTGTTTAGAACAAAATAAAACACCAAGGCATTTAAAGGGCAACCTCTTCAAAATAAATAAATAAAAAAGATTTAATATGCATTCACCTTCCTCAAATAAACCATCAAAGACTTTAAGACTAGCAATGTCTTCAAAAAGCAACAAAGTCGTTTAAAGATAACTATTTTGTCAAAAATTAGCTGCAAAAACAACCAAAATATCATCTACAAATTGAATGCTATTAATAGGAGGATCATAAAACATGAGAAAGACATTATACCATAGATCAGTGGTGCTTAAGAAGGGGTTTAATAATGAGTAAAAATGTGATAATAATGGCAAGCAAGTAACAGATCTCTCTAATGAGCTTCACAATGGCTAGAAAGGGCCCTAAAAAGTACTTGTGTGGTCATACTAAATTGTGATTTTCATTATCTAATCATCAAGTATTTCTGACACATGTTCCATCCAAAGCGAGTGCAGTGTTAAATAAGCACTTCCATTGCAAGGTCCGAAGTCATAGATGAGAAAAGTGGAAGGTTGCGTTAGGTAGTCAACAATCAGTGTAAAACTTGTCAAATAATCATGAAATAAATCATTAAAAATAATATTTAATGTTAGGGCGCTCCTTGAAAATGATGTGTTGTATGGCCTTAATAAAGCAAGAAGTGTGCAAGGGTCATTACATCGGCACCCAAGTGTAGTGTCAAATAAGCAAGAGTTCTCACATCATGGATGAATGTGGGCAAAAAAGCTAATCCATGAAATTAGAATTGGGATAAGAGCATGGAATATAAATTTTCTTACAAACAAATTAATAGAATTAATAGATATTATGATTCATAAGAAAATAAATTTTCTATGTATTAAAAAAATTAAAATGGTTGGAGAGAAGGCTAAGGAGATTCATAGTTTAAAATCTAAACTATAGTATTCAGGTAGGAGTCATACAAGAAATGGTGTATGTGTACAACAAGATCAAGCCTTTGTCCCACTATATGGGGTCGGCTACATGAATTCTTTTTCGCCATTGTGTTCGATTAAAAGTCAAATTCTCATTTAATGGTGTATGTGTGATTATAAAAAATAGTTTGAAGGATAATGTTGTATAAATAATAGAATTGGAGATAGAATTATAGCTTTAAAAATTATTGTTGATAATAATATTATACATATTATAAGTGTTTATGCTCCTCGAGTGGGTTTGGATATGTGTTCAAAATTAAAATTTTAGAATGACTTAGAAGAATAATACAAAAGATACCATTTGAATAAAGAATTTTTATTGAAGGAGATTTAAATGGACATATTGTTAGAGAGAGAAGATTTTAAAAATATTCATGATGGTTATAAGTTTGGAGCTACTAATGAAGGTGGAATGATCATATTAGATTTTTTTCCCAGCATAAGATTTTGTAATTGTTAATACCTTATTTAAGAAAAGAAATGAGCATCTCATCACTTATAAGAATGGGTATAGTAAAACTAAGATTAATTATTTTCTTATAAAAAAATTTAGATCATTTAGTTGCAAAGATTGTAAAATTATTCCGAGTGAAAGTTTATATACTTGGTATCGCTTATTAGTTTTGGATTTTAAAATGAAGGAGTGGAATATGAAAAATAAAATAAAATATTGTCCTAGGATTAGAAGAGGACATTTAAAGAATACTAAAAAATATATTTTTTAGAATAACATTCAAGATCTTAAAAGTTGACTGTGTATGAGGAAGCTAATATTATAAAAAAAGTAGTTAGTGATATTAATAATATTGTAAAAGATATTTTGCAGTATCAAAATGAAAAACTTCTAATAGTAAAAAGAGTTGATTGTGATAGTTTAAGCGTAAAAAGTCAAAAAAAAAAGGAAATATATAAAGAGGCTCGTAATGAGTCAAAGAAAGTAATATATGATGCAAAGAATTTAACATTTAATGATTTATATAATATATTAGAAACTAAGGAGGAAGAAAGATATATAATAAGTTAGCCGAGCAAAACGATAGGAGAAATAAGGATTATGTTCAAGTGAAGTGCATTAAGGATGAAGATCAAAAAGTGTTTTTATTAGAAGATGATATTTAACAAAGGTGAATGAGATATTTTGATAATTTTTTCAATGAAGATGGAGAGAAAACGATTGACTTTAGTGACCTTAGCACCCTAAATGAAAATAATAATTTTTTTATCGGCTTATTAATCGAGAGGCTTTAAAGAAAATGAAATGTGAAAAAACTATTTGACCTAGTGATATTCAAATAGATGAATGGAAAAGCTAAGAAGATGAAGGAATATGTTGACTTATAAAACTTTTCAATACTTTTTTGAATACTTAGAAGATACCAGATAAGCGGAGAAGTGTGTTGATTTCTATTTTTAAGAATAAAGATAATGCATAAGAGTGTCGTCTTAGATGGTTTGGTCGCATAAACATCGGCCTTCTGATGAACCGATTATAAGAGTAGATGTATAATATTTGGCCTAGGTTATGAAAGGTAGAGGTAGACCTAAGAAGGCTATGTTATAACATTTTAGAAAATGTTTGAAATGATATTTTTTTATTATATTTAAATGACTCTTAACAATACACAATGAAGAAAAAGGATTCATGTAGCCAACCCCAGGTAGTGGAATAAAGGTTTGATGTTGGTATTGTTCCATCAAAAGTAGGTAGGATTTTACAACAGAAAAATATCGAATAAAATGTATTGATATAATAATAAGAAACCAACCTCCAAAACAATGTCAATTTGATAGATCTAAAAAATGTCATTCATGATATGCATGGTACAAATTCACACTTGATTGTTTCTCATTACACCAAAAAATATAAAAACACTGTAAATATTTTTAGAAAATTAACCCTAAAACCAAATTTTAAAAGGTCATGCAAGACCTTTTTCTTAGGTAAATCTATATAGTTCAAGCATTTCTTAAAAGCAAACAAAAGCATTGATTCAACAAATGAAAGGACATGTTTCCACAGCATTTCCAACTAAATAGCACGGCCACTTCCTATTCAAACATTTGTTAGGGACTCATACACCCAAACTTTAATCTTGTAAAGTAATTAATAGTTCGTGACAATACCACTGCAGCCACAGTTGCCAATATCACCCATGTTTACTCCGTCTCCAATTTTACATTTCAAAAATACCTCCACCACCATCAAAGCATCCCTTCGTTCCACTAAGACAACTTCCTCTCAGCCAAAAGGATCAGAAATGCTCAAAGCCTGAAACTTCAAAATTCCTAATGTCATATATGCCATTGGATTTGATAGTATGTATTTGTCAAAAACATCAGCCTTGAACACCTGTAGAACAAGATATAGACATACTTTTGACCACTATTAGTACATTCAACTCTGTTCTGTTAAGAGAAAAATTCCATCTAAGGTCTCTCAATAGAAATTGACAACTTATTAGGCTTCCTTTAACATATTTCCAAGCTATTGTTTGATAATGATTATAGGTATTCTCTCAATAATGAAATGCATCTTTTTTTTTTCTTTTTTTTTTTTAATGATGAAATGCATCTAAATGCAAGTGCAACTACTATTAGGTATTGCACATGTTTATAGTATATAACTAATCACATGTCCTATGTAAGTTATTCAAAAAAATTTAGGGCATGTAAGTGGTTTGTCCGATCCAAGCGTGTATCTGCACATCAGGTTTCTTAAGTTCCTCCAGTATAAAAAAAAAATGTCTTACTTCCATAACTTAGGAACCTTTTAACTAGAACATAAGTCCTCTGAAGTATACTTAACAAACAAAGGATTGCATGAATATGGTTTGGATTAGCTTAACATGGAACAACAATATAAGTGTATGGAATGAAAAAATTCACAACTATCCGCACTTTTGGTTTCTTAAGTTCCTCCAGCATAACGTGAATTGTTACTTTCATAAGTTAAGAACCTTTTATATCAGCATCCCAGTCTAAAATTCACTAAACATACAAATGATCACATGCATATGGTTTGGATTAGTTGTTAGAATGGAACAACAATAGAAATTCAAAGAACGAAAAAAATTCACGTGTCACTCTTACCGTATTCAGCTTTAACCATTTCATAGTCTTGCACTGAAACTTAGGACTCCTTCCTCTTGTTTATATCTGCTATCATTGAGGAAGTGCCAAAAATGCCAAATTACTGAATGCGGTCTCCTAGCATATTCCTAGCTGCAAGAAGCTTCATTGGTATATTTTCACAACCTTCTCTAGCCTTCACCCTCCTGTTTCAAGGAAAAACATGCAGAGCCTCTGCTTAAATTTCTCCTTTACATTTTCTTACAAGCAGAATTGCTTCACAGCTTTTCCAAAATTGCAATAAACCAAAGTTACATAAAAACGAGAAAATGGTAACTCACTCCCTCAGAATTCAATTAATACACAATCACCTAAGAATGCCTGATGATGCAAACCAGAAAGGAACATCTACACCACATGGAAAGGCCAGAGGAGTGCACAAACATTTATAAATTGAGAAAGCATCATCATCATAAGCCTCATCCCATATATTTGACATTATTTTTACGAATCCTCATTATCTAGTCTATCCTATTGTGCGTTGACTGAGGTGCAAAGTCTATTCTACGCTATTTTTTAAAAAAATCCATCCACATCACATTTCCCTCCCCTTTTTAATCCTGGCAGTAATTTTGTGTACCACTCTTATGGGTGCATGGTCTACCCTTTGTTATGTGTATGCAAACCACATAAAGATATTATTCACTACCTTCAGTTGAATTATATTCATAAAATCTCTTTAATACGAGCATTCCTTAATCCATCTATTTTAATTTTCCCACATTAATCTTAACATTCTCATTTCTACAATGCTCATTTTTCTGATCAATGACTTTTTCACTAACATGCAAATTTATACAACATTCTTCATAATATTCTCATATCAAATAATACTCCTAAGATACTTCCTACATTTTAACAACCCAACGTCAACTCTATAACTATATTGGCATCCATATCTTTATGTTGTTATATGCTGCATCCACAATACTTAAACATATCACACCTAAATATTAATTTATATCCAAATACTATTAAACATAATTGTTAATATCACAATATTAAAATTGCATATCATATACTAAGCTTTATTCTACTAATCCTAAGCTCTATATCTTCTAAATATTTCATCTAATCTTCTTATATGCCAATTCTGAATTCAAAGAGCTCTGTAAGTTCAGAACATGAACATCTAAAAATCATTGGATCATATGAAAATTGTTAGCAGAGGCATGCAGCTTCCCAAATGCAGGAACAGCCAACTTTAGAATTGAAAGGCGCATGAGCATTGAAATATTTACTATCAGAGTTAGGTAGAGCAAAGAAACTCAAAATCAAAGTCTAAGGCTGAGGCTAGTCAAAAGTTAATGAGATTAGAATTTTGTTAGAAGTCGGCAAATTTTATGATCTACAATTAATGCTTAAAATTCTAACATAGAACATTGCATACATAATTATGATAATTCTAGAAAGATGAATACATTGTAAAAAACTAGTAAATTGAAGCTGCACTGAAACTGAATTGTTCGTTTTCAGGCCCCTTACAAACAAAAAATAAAGACAAGTAATGCAACCATGATCAGCTTTAAAAAGCCCCCAAGAAAAACAAAAAACAAGCTTGCATTTTTTCTATGGACATGCCACAAACAAACAGGCATAAACCTGCATGAAAAGTGAAAGAAAAGATAGATCAACATCATTAGTCTTATCCCAACCATTTTCATTCATTCCTGCCACTTTTTACACGGGGATTCAACTTATTCTATGCATATCTTTGTGCACAACTTCTAATCATACTAATTTAGTCTACCCATTTCATTTTCAAATCCTTCAACAATAACTTTATCTTACGCATCTTATGGGTGTACTTTTTACCCTCCTTTGTGTAGATGTTCAAACCACCCAAGCATATTTTTTCACTAGCTTATCTTCTACAAAATGCTTATCCCAACATCCATATAATATTAGTATTCATAAACTTATACATATTCTAATTTTCCCACATTGATCTTAACATTCTCATTTCTACAATGCTCATTTTTCTGATCAATGACTTTTTCACTAACATGCAAATTTATAAAACATTCTTCATAATATTCTCATATCAAATAATACTCCTAAGATACTTCCTACATTTTAACAACCCAATGTCAACTCTATAACTATATTGGCATCCATATATTTATGTTTCTATATGCTGCATCCACAATACATAACCCTATCACACCTAAATATTAATTTATATCCAAATACTATTAAATATAATTGTTAATATCACAATATTAAAATTGCATATCATATACTAAGCTTTATTCTACTAATCCTAAGCTCTATATCTTCTAAATATTTCATCTAATCTTCTACCATTTCCTTTAATTCAATCTTCATCGCATCAATTAGAAATATATAATCTAAAGCGCATAAAATAATGCCCTCAAATTAAATATCCTCTACAAGCATCTCCATAATAAATACAAAAGATATAAAGTTAAAGGAAATACTTAATACAATCGGACTATAATTAGGATAACTTTAATCGCTCTGAAATGACTACAAGTACTTGTCAATGGTCCATCATGCTTATTTTAAATAATTTCAACATAACTTCAACACATAAATTTTTTTCTTAAATGCGAACTCAATCTAGTTAACCGAAAATCTTATTAAGATCAATTAAAGCCAATATGAATAACTTTTCTCTGCCATTTATTCTTTTTTTATAAATATTCATAACAAAAATAAAATCAATGGTAGATCTTCCGGGCATAAAATCAAAATAAATATTTGAAATCAATGTAATTTATCTAGTCTGTGTTCCAATATTCTCTCATATAATTTTATTGCATGGCTCAAAAGATTAATTCCTTTATATGGCTCAAACTAGTATTAAAGCTTTGCCTTCATGCATCTTCTTTAGAGCTACCATTTTAGCATTTTCAGATCAACTTATAATACCAACTTAGGGTTAAGAATTATATTTAAAACTCAAATCTTGTACAGCAATCCCTTTGAATTTTAATCAACTCGAAATCAATTTGCTTCATCTCAATGATGGTTGGCTCAAAAGTACTTTGGTTTAATCACACACTCAAATCAAAACAGACGTCAAATTGAAATAGATCAACTTCAGCTTATTTTGAATGAGACAAGGACTAAAATCAAAATTCATGTCAATTGAGGTTGAATCACTAAAACACGAGTCAATATCACCCCACTATACCTTATTATTTTGCTCAATAAGCTCTTCTAAAATATTTTTTTTTCTTAAAACTCTCATTTAATAATTTTTCATAAAAATATGTTCATCTTTATTTGCCATTTTAAACTTTAATTAAGATTGTTCTATCTTCACTTCTAATGCATCTAACTTGATTGAAGTTTTTAGATCTTTTATTGCTACTTTAGTTATTTTAAATCTCGGCTACTTTTTTGGTACCTAGCCTCTTGTATAAATATAGATTTCACTTTATCAACGTCACCTTTAAAGCAAATTTTAACTTTCATATAGCCATTATGCATGAATGGCATTCTTTTTATGTCACTTCTTAAAAGTCAATTGCTTTTCTTTAAAAATCTATTGTACATCGTCACTCCATCATTAAATCTCTTTATTATTAATGTATGATCTATTTCAAGACTATTAAAACATCTATGGCAATCATTCAATGGAATTAACCATCTTATCACTCAGTAAGTTTGATTCAACTAAGAAATTCCAATTCTCCTCTCCAACAAACCCATCTTGAAAGACTAACTTATCACCAATCAAACTCCACCATCTTATTCTAGGAAAGTTTCCTTTGATCATTTGATTTATGATCTTAAGATATAAATCTGGAACTATTACTATATGGTGCATGGTAAAGCTTTATCCAAGAATCACCTTGAAGTCTTCACCAAGAAAAATATATATATTCTTCATATTATAAAAGTCTGCAATTTGGTGGCTCCAATTCTAGAATTAATGAAGTGCTATGCTTGTCTTTTAAAATACATATTGTTATTAAAAGATCATATACAACTATTAAATTAAATACAGCACTCATCATATCTTATATAACTTCTTTCATATCAATCACCATTTTTATAGCCCGTCATACAATAACCTATATGCTCATTTAAGTCCTTAGAACTAAATTCTATTTCATTCATCTCTTTCAAAATTAATTTTTATGCTCATTTAAGTCCTTAGAACTAAATTCTATTTCATTCATCTCTTTCAAAATTAATTTTTTCAACTATCTTCCAACACTAGAAGCATTAGCACTAATCACATTTATAATGACAATTAACTTAATAACAATCACCACATCACTAATTGTATTCATCTCAACAATTTTATTTTTCAATTCTATATTCATCATGATCCCAAACGCATTTCTATTATTAACTTATCCAACATATAATGATTAACAAACTTCTTCAATATCTCTTGAATTTTTTTCCTTTCATTTTGTTTCTTGCAAGCAAAAAATATTAATCTTATTCCAATCATTGTGCCCACCATATCTCTTGCTTTTCCAAATTTTTATGAAACAAATCAAATCTTAGTTTCAGACCTTGCTCATTAGCTACTGCAATTGTCTGAAGTTGTAATGCCTCGCTCACAAAACGTGCTAAAAAATCACTTGTGTTTCATTGACATGGAATTTGCTATGATGCATTACTAGCTGATGAAAACCTTACAAATTTTTCATCATAATCGTGTTATGTAATGATGCATCACCTTTGGGAACATTCTAACACTCAAAATTTAAATATAAATTCATTTCATGAATTTTGATATTGGTTTAACTTGGGAAAGCAGAATTATTTACTAAGAAAACATGCACATAGACACAATTAAGACTACTGGTATACAAATTACGCCAGAAATAAAATAATTTATATGAGGCAATCCAAACAAAGTTCATGATTCAAATTTGTTTCCTAGAATAATAAAAACAAAAACCTCATGTTGATTCTTGATTCTAGCCTTTAGTTAGGTAAACCAACTCATCTGAAAACTCGTTAAATTTAACATTCAACTAACAAAAGTCAAGTTTCTTTAGTTCTAATCCTCTTGAGTTGCCACTTAAGTTAAATTTAACATCTTATTGTAATTCGATCTCTCGCTCTCTTGTGGCCTCCCATTTTCACATAAATGTCATAAGGTGTTGTTATTGCCATCATTATTGGCATGCAAGCAAATAATTCATCACCAAAA